GAAGAAGAAGTGATTTGCAAGGGGAAAGATAATGAGTTCAGTTTGGATACATAGAGATTGAGAAGACTATGGAGTATCCAAGTGGAGTTTAGGAGGGAGGATTAAGTTAAAGATACAGGTCTTAGGGTCATCAGTCATGGATGAAATTGCCCAAAGATAACACTAAGAGAAAGAAGGACAAAAAATTGGTGGATATCAACATTTTAAAAGCTTAAAAGAGAAAAGCAAATTATAGAAGACAGTATGAAAGAACTATATTTTGGTATCATTAAGTGAAGAAGACGCCATTTTTTTCCACATAATTTTTTCTTTATTTTCTTTTTTTTTCAAAATTTTATTTAAATTCTAATTAGTTAACATACAGTGCAATATTCATTTCAGGAGTAGAATTCAGTGATTCATCACTTAACATACAACACCCAGTACTCATCATAACAAATGCCTTCCTTATACCCATCACCCATCTAGCCCATACTCCACCCATATCCCTCCATCCACCCTCAGTTTGTTCTCTATCTTTAAGAGTCTCTTATGGTTTGTTTCCCTCTCTCTTTATTCTTTTCTTCCCCACTCGCATATTTTCATCTGTTTTTTTCTTAAATTCCATTTATGAGTGAAATCATACGGTATTTATCTTTCTCTGAGTTATTTCGCTTAGCATAACATACTCTAGCCCCATCCATGTTGTTGCAAATGGCAATATTTTATTCGTTTTGATGGCTGCGTAATATTCCTGTGTGTGTGTGTGTGTGTGTGTGTGTGTTTATACACATCTTCTTTATCCATTCATCAGTTGATGGACATTTGGGCCCTTTCCATAGTTTGGCTGTTGTTGACAATGCTTCTGTGAACCTTGGGGTGCATGTACCCCCTTTGAATCTGTATGTTTGTATCCTTTGGGTAAATACCTAGTAATGCAATAGCTGGATCATAGGGTAGTTCTACTTTTAACTTTTTTACTAACCTCCACTCTGTTTTCTAGAGTGGCTGCACCAGTGAATAAGACCCCATTTTGATGAAAAACATATATTAGTGATGTAATGTTACTTTGTGCTTCAGATGGAGGTGGGACTATCTAGCCCTGGAGCTGACAGACTTGAGGAGCATAGTGCTGGATGGTAAGGGGAATTCATTAGTAGCTCAGCCACTCACATTTCCCCCTCAATATCCAGTTCCAAATACTCAACCATATCACACCCTTCACTCCATACACTAAAGTTATCTAACATCTGCCTTTTGCAAACAAAGACTCATTCCCTGAATAAAACCTGTATCAAATGGAATTTAAGAGGAAAGCAAGTTGAACCAAATCCCATTACACATGAGTGACTATTAAGTTTCTTAACTCTGTCAGAAGCATTTGTGTATTTTAGGAAGATGCTTGTTAATACAAAATATTTCTTTTATTGTTGGTATTGTTTACTTAGTTTTATAGCAGGCAACAGAGTCACTGACCATTAAAGTAAATGCAGCACAGTTCTTATTCTTGAGGTTGCTAACGAGAAGAGGAAGGAGACAGATAAAAACCAATAGCGTGAAGGACAAAGCTCTGTGGGAGAACACAGATAGATGAAATTGGGTGGGTGGGTGGGTGGGTGAGTGCGGTACTATAGGAACATCTGTTAGTCAGATCGGGCTGCCATAACAGAATAGCACAGACAGGGTGACATCAACAACAGAAATTTGTTTCCTCAGTGTTCTGGAGGCTGGAAATTCAAGATCAGGTTGGTTTCTGACTTCTCTCCTTGGCTGAGATATGGCCACCTTCTCACTGTGTCCTCACATTGCAATGCCCCTTGTGGCTCCTGCTCTTCTTAAAAGGACACCAGTCCTAGTGGATTAGGGCCCCATTCATGACTTCATTTAAGCTTAATTACCTCCTTTAAGGTAATATAGTCACATTTAGAGTTAGGGCTTTAACATAAATAAATTTGGGGGTACACAATTCAATCCATAATCCAAGGATTTGCTGAAGAGGTGAAATTTAAGCTAGTTCTGTAATCTAATTTGCTAAGAGTTTAATCCAGGTGACTTTTTTTTTTTTTTTTTTGAGAGAGAGACAGAGAAAGAGGGAGAGCTCAAAGAGGGGAGGGGGCAGACGGAGAGAGAGAGAAAGAGAGAGAGAGAGAGAGAGAGAGAGAGAGAGAATCTTAAGCAGGCTCCACACTCAACACAGAGCCTTATGTGGGACTTCGGATAATGACCTGAGCGGAAATCAAGAGTTGGATGTTCAACCAACTGAACTACCCAGGTGCTCCCCCCAAGTGACATTTTTATCATATGTTCTCATTCACAGTGTTTTGGTTTTACAATAGTTTGATCTGTTTTTCACGCATACATTTACAGTTGAAACACAGCTTTTACACAAATCTACGACACATACTGTGGTTCTTACAAGTTCTGATGAAAGTGAAACTAAGGAAGAGAATGATAAAAATGCCATGCAGAGAGAGAGGCGTGTTAAGTCAACAAGCAGAAATGCCTCTAGTAAGTAATGGTCTTAGTTAAAAGCTAATGACAAGTAATACCTCCCATTCATTTTCCAGAACACTAACATTATTTATTTCAGGAATTTTTTTTATAAAGATCCCCTAAAATTATATAATGTGGTTTACAGATTATTCTTTTTCTTGCTAATCCATTGATTTCTTTGGTTTATATTCTAGAAAAATGATTCATGTTGTATAATGAACAAATGATATTTAAGGTGATCTCAGAGAAGCTTATGGTTGGAAGTGACCATTTTATTTATTTATTTTTCAACGTTTATTTATTTTTGGGACAGAGAGAGACAGAGCATGAACGGGGGAGGGGCAGAGAGAGAGGGAGACACAGAATCGGAAACAGGCTCCAGGCTCTGAGCCATCAGCCCAGAGCCTGACGCGGGGCTCGAACTCACGGACCGCGAGATCGTGACCTGGCTGAAGTCAGACGCTTAACCGACTGTGCCACCCAGGCGCCCCTGAAGTGACCATTTTAAAGTTACATTTTATAACTCCCTGGTCATCCAACATCTGCTCAAACTCTAAAAATAATAAGAAGCTCATTATTTCATACAGCCTTTCCTTTTCCATTCTGCTGTCTTTATAAGTCTTGTTCTATTTGATTAATATTCTGATTGTCTTTATAAAGGCCTTACAGATTTTACATTAGCTTTCTTTATGCCTTTGCCTTATGTAACATTAGCTATTCATCTTGTGAGATATCATTGCACTTGTTTATTTTGCAGAATATCATTGTAGATTACTGCAACATAGGAAAGCTGTCTTGATTTTAATTTATTCATACATCCAGTTGCCTTACTAAACACTCATATTACGCTATTTTTATAGTTGGGTCTCTTTGTTGGTTTTATAAATAAACAATACGTCTTGCCAATTTGTCTCTTCCTCTTACTTTCTCATTATAATAGTTAGCCTGTATTTACAACATATCAGCTCTAGACAAATATTATTTATATATTATTCAGTCCTTTCAATAGCTGTAGACATTAACTGTTCTTATTTCCATTTTGCGGAAGTTACTAATCTGTACAGAGCCATAGATGGGTTATCTGTTCAGGCTTATAGACGTTGTAAAAGAAGAGACATTTGAACCTGAGCAGTCTGACTATAGAGTCTCAGTTCTCAAACTTGGGTCCTCATTGTAATGGCTGGGACCTCCAGTGCAAAGTGTTTAGGCAGGGAATTATTTCTTAATGGTTTTAATGGAAATTCTTTTCATGTTTCACCATTAAGTATGATACCACAGTAGATTTCTGCTAGAAATCCTTCATCCAGTTGAAGAATTTTCCTTTTATTTGTTGATTTCTCAGAATTCTCTTTAGTTTTAAATTAGAAGTAGTTTTTAAATTTTATCAGTTTTTCAGCATTTATTACTTCCTGCAGTTTCTGTTAATGTTTCCTTAGGCTAACTTTTTTAGAATGTTTTCAACAGAAAATGGTATCAGATCATTTTTTAACATTATTTTACACTGCATTCTTTATTATGTAATGTAATTATATAATTATGTAATATAATTCAATTAGTAGAGATACAAGTTTATTTATCCTGATGTAGTAATCTGTAACCACACTTCTGCATTTGATTTGCTAGCATTTCATTAAATGCTTATGTATTTTAATAAATAATATTGACTCAACGATTATGCCACTTCATCAAATGTTTTTAAAACTTTCATCTCTTTCTCTGCATTGCAAGAGTTTTGTAAAACAGTCTTTCCTTGATTATTTGGTAATTTTTTTCCATTAGATCATCCTTCCTGGCATCATTTTTGGGGGCGACTTTGGATTATTTTTTTTCCTTTCATGGTAATTGTTCTATCAACTCCTCTATTTTTTCTTCCACCAGTTTAATCATTTATATTTTACAAAAAAAAAATGTGTTTATCTCATCAAGATCTCAGACTTCTTAGTTTAAAATTATACATAGTATGTTTGTGTAAGTTAAATTTTTCTGGGGCACCTGAGTGACTCAGTTAGTTAAGCATCTAACTCTTGATCTCAGCTCAGGCCTTAATCTCAGGGTCGTGAGTTCAAGCCCTTCAGATTATCATTATGAGTTGCTCACATGTCCATTATTGACAACACTATGCTTTCTTTGCTGTGAGCTTCAGTGTATGAAGTGGTCAGTATTGTTTGTTGGCTATTTCTAACTCTTAAATAAAATTATTATTTATTGTTTTTTAACTTTTATAATGTTTAATATTCTATGTTCCTGTGTATCCAAAAAGATTATAAATCCCTTGAAGGCAGGGACTGTATGATGACTTATTATTACCACATTGCTCCTAGTGTAATGGTATACATGCACCAGACATTATGTGAAGGAATGAATTACTTAATGTTAAATATAGTGGGAAGGGCAGAACATTAATAAATGTTACTAACCTTTCTGTTTCTTTTTTGGTTGTTAGGTATAAAATTTCCGCCACCATCAACAGATCATTCACTGGTTGGTGTGAACTTTACCCATGGTCCTGCTGCTGTCAAGAAGTTCTTGGACACAACCAGTGACATCTCACGTTTCTCATTAAAAGCAGTTACCTCTCAGATGAATAATTCAGAGAAAGTTATTTCCCATCAGATATCAGGTTTTGAACATGCGGATCATACTATAACTACAAATCTCAGTCTGGAGGAACTGGTAGTTTCTGTGAAACACCCAAGTTCCTTAAGCATTAACCCAAACAGTTCCCATGGTAAAGCAAAGGATGTTACACCGAGTACCATCCAAACAGAGGCAGGAGGGCATAATTCTCAAATCAACAGGTCTGCCCAAGGTTACATGCAATTTAAGGATGAGTTTACATCATCAGTTACTAGAGCCATCACTGTTTTGCCAGAAAAGCCTGGATGGACCAAAATATCAACTTGTGCTGAATCGCCTTGTTTTCTTGGTGTTTCCTGTGTGCCAACTGCAGATGGTCATTTCCGATGTGGACGATGCCCCTTTGGATATTACGGAGATGGTATCAATTGCAGAGGTAGTATGAAAATTCTTTAGAAGATAGAAAGATAACTAATTAGTTCACATTTAAGTAATTAAGAAGAGATTCTTTTTTATGTATTAATTTCTATTTACTCCATTTATTTCACCAATTTCTATTTATTTATTTATTGTTTGTGTATCCCCTCTTCACATTTCAAAAAAATTAACATGGGTGTTCCTGCATTATTTTTAGAAAGAACGTTTCTATTATATAGTACTATAAACTATATAATATAGTATAAATATGTTTTTGGGTATCTACTGTGTTCCAAGGTCTATAGAAACATTCTGTATCAATTATGTCATATAATCCATAAAGACTCCCTGTATTGAGTGTTATTTTTCCCATCATTCAGATGAGAACACAGAGCCTTAGAGGGCTAACTGACTTTCCTAGCATTAAGCAGCTAAAAAGATAAAAAAAGGATGTGAATAACATTGTTGTCTGGGTTCTTTTCATCTCACAATGGGCATTTAGCACTTTAAATTACTAATTCTGGCATATTTGCTTATTTGCATAAACTATGTTTCTCTGTATTTCTTCCAGCTCTTGAGGAAAAAACAAGTTGGGCATCACTTTAATTTTGAAAGGAGCGTTTACTTCTTTTCATAATTATCAGTATTGTTTTCCTAGATGCAACTCAAATTTTTAGCTGTAACACTGTTGAAGCTATTTTGTGTTGTTATTTTGTTATTACTGTTTTGTGTTGCTTGTGTTTTGATTTGTTTGAGACCAACTTAAGCAATAGAGCTGTTGGGATATTCCCTTGTTGTCGGTATTACTGAGAGGTACGTTGTTTGTTTGTTTGTTTGTAGGAATAGTGATAATAATGACTTTCAGGACTTATATGTTCATAATATAAAACTCCATATTAACAACCACATACTTTTTGGTCACCTCAGAAAAACATTAAATGCCTAATATTTAGAATATATCAAGCACTTCAAGAAGCTTAAGGAATACAAACCTGTAAACTTATGATGTGGTCCTAGTATCTTGCTCTTTGAAATTCTGATTATTTCTGACATTTACCAGCATTTATCTGATCAGTATCTGGAACTTTATTGACCTCTGTGAAAAGACTGGAATCCCATTTCTGGTTAGCAGCCATCTTCAACATCAGGCCTCGCAAAGGGAGTAATTACCACCTATGACACTTATTTCTGATCATATTAATCATGTTCTTCAGTCATTCTAATAGTAAAACAAATATAAGGGGGAAAATAACTTTATGGATAAATGCAATGGTTATTGCTTTAATAAGCAGCGTCAAAATTTTCAAATTTCAGAGATTTTTACTTTTCTTACAAGTAAGTCTATGGGCAACATGTATCAACAATTCATCCTTTTTCCTTTGATTTTTGCAGCCATTTGTAGACACCCATGTGGGAAAAGCAGGGAGTGTGTTGCCCCAAACATATGCAAATGTAAACCTGGTTATGCTGGCTCTAACTGCCAAACTGGTAGGTATAGAACTTGTTAGTTTGCATAATGAATTTAATTGATAATTGATATTTCTAAAACCTGAGCTTTTTTTTATACAGCTCTATGTCATCCTGATTGCAAAAACCATGGAAAATGTATTAAGCCTAACATTTGTGAATGTCCCCCAGGGCGTGCTGGAGCAACCTGTGATGAAGGTGATAATTCAAATTAAAAATCAAATAATAGAGCCAAGATAAAACACTTTTTTAAAGCTTTTTTAAAAAGATAATTCCGTTTTACTGTGTCTTTACTCATATATATTCATTAATGTTGGGGAGGATGTCTAAGCTTTTTAATGTTTTCTAAAAATAATTTATTTGAAGATTTTAAAAACTTCAATTTCATTAGAAATCCAAAGAGTAATAGCTTATTTGTCCTTGGTAAAATTGTCTTCGGAAATATCTTGGATATTTGGTTTTAAGGTGCCATATCCCTACATATATTTTAGCTTCAAGTGAAGGACACCTGATTATTGAATGACTTGTCAAACATGACTCCAAGAAAGTGCTAAATACCAAATTAGAAGATATTAGGTAATAAAAAGAATCCTAAAAAGTGATTTTTAAAAACATGTCTATAGGCACATAATTTTATTACTTTGGTTGAAATCTTAAGAGGGGAGTTTCTTAAATGACATTTTTTAAATATTTTAAAGAAACACATTTGTTATTTTTAATATTTTAAAGAATATACTTTGATAGACAGTACAAATAATTATTAATAATCTAAGAACCACACTAAATACTTCCATGGCAAGGCAAGGTACAAAATAACAAATTAAAGTAAATCCAGCGTGAACTAATAGAAACATGTAATATCGATGACATAGGAAAATAATTATGGAAATATAGAAGTATTCTATTTTTAGGGGAGGAGTGTGTGTCTCACTTTGCAGAAGAAACCTAACATGGTATATTTCCATTCAGTTAACCAACAGTTTTATAAACCAAAACATGATGATGATTTGTTGGTGTTTTGAGAGTATCAACTTGTATAGTCAATCCCACAGAACTAAATTTCATAGTAAAAGCAAGCCGAGTTTATTATAAATTGCTTTTACAACACAGTTTATTGTGGCTATGATTCATAAATATAAACATATATATTCTTAATTATGATCTGACTTAATAACATAATTTTTGTCTGTAGAACATTGTAGTCCACCTTGTCGACATGGTGGCACCTGCTTGGCTGGAAATCTCTGCACTTGTCCTTATGGTTTTGTAGGACCAAGGTGTGAAACAAGTAAGCAAAACTCTCTTGCAGCCTAATGTAATGAAACTGCTCCTTTTAATAGTTGATGCCTTTAATACTAAGGTAAACCCAAACACTAAAAAATATACATTCCTGGGGCACCTGGGTGGCTCAGTCAATTAAGCATTCGACTTCAGCTCAGGTCATGATCTTGTAGTTCATAAGTTCGAGCCTCGTGTCAGGCTCTGTGCTGACAGCTCAGAGCCTGGAGCCTGCTTCGGATTCTGTGTCTCCCTCTTTCTCTGCCCCTCCACCACTCACGTTCTGTCTCTCTCTCAAAAATAAATAAACATTAAAAAAACGAACAAACATACATTCATGATTTATTATGACAGTTGTTATTCTGTATGCCACTGGGAACACTGGATTCCAGTACTAAGATAAAGAAGTTTGTTCTTGTAAACAACTCTCTCCTTACCCTATCCATGACCATTTCTTAGAGATAATAAGAATTCCAGTTTGTTGATTTGCCTATAAGTTTATCTTGTTTATTTATATCTAAAATTATTTTCATTAGTAACTAATAATTTTCTTAAATAGCCAACTCTTATTTACCATTCAACTCAATGATTTTCTTCTTTCCCCAACTCTGTTACCAAAAAGTAACTGAATGTGACAATTGGAGACCATTTAAAGCCAAAGAATAGGTTATTTTTATTTTTCTCTCTGAATTTATTCATTAGAGGATATGATTGGCAGTTATGAGCTACCTAGATAATACCCAATAACATGACCAATTCCAAGCCTAATTTAGCTTGCTTTTATTTTTATTCTGTGATCTTAGTGATTTGTAACAGGCACTGTGAAAATGGAGGTGAATGTCTTACACCAGATATTTGCCAGTGCAAGCCTGGCTGGTCGGGACCTACTTGTGGTACAGGTAAAATCAGGATTTTTTTCAATGAATAAGTCAGGTAAAAAAAAAAAATGTTAAATGCACCAATGTCCTAAACCAGCACCCAAAAGCATTAAACTAATCTGACAAGATTAGTATGAAGTTTTAATAAAAGTATCTTTTATTTTTATTCTTTTTCTTCCTGTATCAGGCCATAGAGTATATTTCAGCTTTAGTGTTATCTAGCCCAACCAGTACTTCTTTTTTTTGTTTTTTATGCCTTTATATTCTCATCATCCACTTGCCTTATAATGGAGAGAAATAAATATGTGTTACATCTCAATCTTCAATCTCTTTCAAGTTTTTTTTTTTATCACAGCACAGACATTCTGTTTCAAGAAACATTCAAGCAGTTGAATTAAACGACACCATCACTCTATTCCATGTCTTTATCAGAGTATCAGGCTTAATTTTTTGCCAGCAATGTTTGCAGTTATCTGTGTTTAATTTATTCCATTGTGATCTAATGACTTTTCTGAACATAAGTTTAACTTAATGTTTATAGTTTGCGAACTATGTGTGAAGCATGATCCAAGGGGAAACAAAGATCAATTTGATTTTTGCTTTGACTTCAAGTAGCATGTCATTAGTGAAGAAGACACAGGATACAATAATTTTAAATGACTGTGGTACAAGTTGGATTATAATAAGTAATGTAATTAATGCACAGTTCCTTGGAAGCAGAGAAGACAGAAATTCATTCTGGCAAGTGCAGTTTGGAAGAAGATAGTATTGAGGTAGACTTTGGAGAATGGGTAAAGTCTGAGTTGGAAAATGGAATTAGGGGTGCCTCTCAAAGGGGAACAAAGGTAAAGAAGCTAAGCAGAATGCTTTTGAGTGTGCTAGGACTTCAGCACAGTGTTCCTAATTGAATTGAGATGGAGGCCTAAAGAAGTGTATTTGAGTGGATTACAGACTGTCCAGTTAGTGCTGCTGAAATGTCTTCTAATTTCCCATCATTGTTTTCAGCTTGCAGAGGGCATTCTGAATTCTAATCATAACCTCCATATTCTTAGCTTGGTATTGTTTGTAAACTTAATGAGCAGACTTTCAAAGCTATTATCCACTTATTTTATTCCTCTTATGTTTGGCAAAGTCAAATTAATTATAGGTTATGGCTTTTCCTTGCAGTAAAAATAAAATATTTCATTAGGCACCATTTTGTACTTCAGTGCAGCTTTCATTTTTTAAATAATAAAACTTTTATGGTCTCTCTTCCCCCTGCTGTTCATTAGCTTTGTGTGACCCTGTTTGCCTCAATGGTGGTTCCTGTGATAAGCCAAACACTTGCTTCTGTCCAAATGGATTCTTTGGTGCGCAGTGTCAGAATGGTAATTATTCTTTCTTTATGAATACAAAGAGAAAGGCATAAACAGAACTCTGAGTAAACACAAGACAAGTATCAAAGGGGACAGTGCTATTTTTTTCTCTCTTTCTTGTGATGTTACAGTTGTGGCTGCTTAATGACCAGATCCTGAAAATGTATGAGTTATTATATAAAATATTTATATTTGGGGTGCCTGGGTGTCTCAGTCGGTTGAGCATCTGACTTCAGCTCAGGTCATGACCTCACAGCTTGTGAGTTCGAGCCCCATGTCAGGCTCTGTGCTGACAGCTCAGAGCCTGGAGCCTGCTTCAGAATCTGTGCCTCCCTCTCCCTCTGCCCCAACCCACTCGCATTCTGTCTCTGTCTCTTTCAAAAATAAATAAACATTAAAAAAAATTTAAATAAAATACTTACATTTATTCACTATACATTAGGCTCCCAATTTTGGCACTTGTCCATGCAGTTTTGTAGGATCAAGGTGTGAACCAAATAAGCAAAATTCTCTTGGAGTCTGTTGCATGCAATGGTGTCATTTTTTCTGCCCTCACAGCAAAAATGTTTGATTTATGGTCCACTAACGCCCACTTTTACCTCATGATCTCTCAACATTAGTTTTATTAAACACTTGTGAAAAGTTAGCTATGCACAGCATTGGGCAAGGTGATATCAGGTCATACAGAGGCGTCGCTCCCCCCCCCCCTTCGTGGCCTGCTATTTCAATACTTTCGCTGATATAGAAATGTGATGGATTTTTTCAGAATAATGAGCATGTCCTGAGGATGACAGTGTAGGTATGAGTTAATGTCAATAAATGAAATTTAAAATGTATTTTCCACATCTTCGTATCTTTGAACTTTTGCAAAATGCAGAATAGATTTTTTAGTAAAATGTGTCCGAGGCTGTCCTAATTTAATTCCTAAAACATATTCTTTTTGGGGCATGTTATACTTTGAAGTGATTTAATTTCTTTTATTTGGAGGTTGACTGGGATTCTTAGGTTGCAGATGAGGTAGAGAACAAACTACCACTGAAGTACAGGCGTAGCAAATGAGTTACTCTAGTTAAGATTTCCTTCAAGGAACCACTTTGTGAAATGGGAAGATGTAAAAACCACGTTAAAGCAAACCTTGAAAACCAAGTGACTATGTCTAACCCCATATTTCTGAGTTATAGGTATAGTTTTGACTCAGAATTTAAGAGGGATATAAAAGCTGGTATCTCTCATGCTCCTTGCAGTAGATGTAAGATATAGTGAGAAAATGTCTCTAAAACTTATGTGCCAGCAGTATTACTGAGAAAGGAGGAAATCTCTAAATTATTAAGTATTGAACTAAAAAGCATCTGTTGAACATATGTTAAAAGGTTTTGGAATTAGCTGGCCTCTAAAACCTCCTAGCTGGCATGGATTTTGAAATCAAAGTCTCCAGCATCAGACTTCCTGACTTTTTAGATTTGAACCACACAGTTGCCATAAGGAGCGAGACGTACATACTGTAAGTGCATGGCTGGCTACCATGAATAATAGTACAATTGTTTTTAAGAAATGCTACAGGAGATGCAGAAGAAATAAAAAACATTAGCTTTATTCTTATCAGATCACATCCTCTCATGAGCCTCTGTGAGCCCAAATGGTGGGAAGGGAAAATGGTATACACATTCAAAGTCACTGAATAAAAATATGCAGAAAATGGATAAAATATTTATCCACACAAGATATTGTGTGTTCTATAGGATTTCAAATGAGGAAGATAAAAATTGAACTAGAGACATAACGAAAGAGTTAAACTACTCCATTCATAATCAAGGCTTATAATGTGTCACTGGAGAGTTGTCTAAATACATTTTATATCCTTCAAATCCTTGAATGTCATGAGTCCATTCCACATGGTAGGTGAGGCTGGATTACTTAGCTCCCTTTGGAGTCTCATGGAATATCTGTGTGAGGCCTAGAGAATATATAGGTATATATGTAGGTAGATTTTCTCCTAAACTTCCTTTTCCTAAATGGGACTAGATGTGGAGAAGATCAAACCTTTATATTAATATATAATCTCTTTATATTACTTTATTTACATATGTTTTGTTGTGTAAATGTAGTATTTATCTCTACACTCAAGTTTTGTGGTATGGATGAGTATTGATTATAGCAAGGTTACCCATTATATATTGGTTTTTTATTTTTGTTTTAGTTTTAAATTTCTAACCATAAGTATTTCCTACTGTGTTTTTGCAATAGAACAAATACATTTTTTTTTCTAATACTAGAAATGATCGTAAGTTGTATTAAGACTAGGAAGCAGAAAATGTACTTTTTATAAAAAGTACCAAATAAACACCAGGGAAAGTAGACTGAAGCATTAATCAGAAAAGGTTCAAACTAAAAGAGTGGAAATTATCCATTTGCTAAAATCATTCAGTTATTTTGTTTTTATACATAAAGTACTAAATTATTTTCAGTTTTGAATCCATTTGAAATTAGTTGATTTCTTTTCTTAGACTGGAAATAAAGTAGCTCTTAAAGATGGATCTAATTCAAAACTGGGAATTAGTCTACGATAGCCTTGTTACCAAAATCAGTTAATTTGACATTTGTTTTTAAAATACAAATTAAAATCCATTTAATTATCATTTAGAGAAAAAAATAAATTTCTTGTTAGGCGGGTTTGCCTATGTATTATTTTTTTAAATAAAGGCATTTATTGTCATATATGCAAGAAACATGAAGCCATATAAATCTTCTCATAAAAGATGATAAATATTAACTTCTGAATTCCATGAAGCAGAAGCATATACATAGAAGATACTAGTACAATGTAGTCAAGGTTATCTGATAAATATTCCTAACAAAGCCAGGGATTTATTGTTAAAAGGATTTTTCACTAAGTTTTTTAGGAGTAAGTCACATACTAAGCTCTGCCTTTATGACCTCAGTTAGGTATTCAAAAGTCAACTAAAAATTATTTTCTGAAAATCATATGATATATTGTTGGGATTTTTCTATTTTCCACAGGAATAGGTGCATTTCTTATTTTGAGCTAGGTTATGACTCACTTTCTTGGTTCTGCCTGGATCATTTTACTCTTTACTTCTAAGAAAGGTGAATCATAAGATAAGGTTTGTGATTTAAGCACTATAATATCAAAGATGCCATTTGTTATGAATACTTCATCAATACCTTTCAAATTGTGCTAATCCACTAGCTGCTTAAAGCTATAAGCATTGGATTTTATGATTTAGAAAGGATAGTGTTAATGATTTGCAGATGTGATCTTTTATTTTAATAGCACATTTCTCTGCCTTATGGCCCCATAGATAACAAGCACATGATGCAATATGTAATATATAATAATTGAATATGGAGTATTCTCAGATTGCTGCCATGTGTTCTTTTAGCTATCTGTCACCCTCCCTGTAAGAATGGTGGCCGCTGCATGAGAAATAATGTGTGCACCTGTCGTGAAGGATACACTGGTAGGAGATGCCAAAAAAGTAAGATACCACTAAATGTGTTTTTTAACTACAGGTAAAGCAAACACTTTAAATAGCTAAACTATTGCCATTTGAGGGCTGATATTTCATGCTTTTACCTTAAGGTATCTGTGATCCCATGTGCATGAATGGAGGAAAATGTGTAGGACCAAACATTTGCTCTTGTCCTTCTGGTTGGAGAGGGAAACAATGCAACACACGTAAGAAAAATACTCTTAAAAAAATTGTTTTTATGTTTATTTGCTTTAAACGTTAAAGAGAGAGACAGAGTATAAGTGGGGAGAGGTGCAGAGAGAGAGGGAGACATAGAATCTGAAGTAGGCTCCAGGCTCTGAGCTGTCAGCACAGAGCCCAAAGCGGAACCCAAACTTCACGAACCCGTGAGATCATGACCTGAGCCGAAGTCGGACACTTAACCATCTGAGCCACCCAGGAGCCCCAAGAGTAATACTCTTAAATGCTACATCCACATGAGAACATCAAGCAGAATTTACTACACAGGGCATTTTCTTTTGTTTTGTTTTGTTTTGTTTTGTTTTGTTTTGTTTTGTTTTTATTTTTGATTCTTTGTTCCTACTTTAGGGGATTTTTTTGTGAACTGGAGTGAAATGACAACTGTTCTGAATTCATTTCTTCAGGCTAGCAGAGAAAGAGGATATGCTGTATTTTCCAGTCTGTCCACTGTGATTGCCATGATAAATGACAAGTTCTTTAAGTCCTGTCTCCCTCTCTAAGGAAGGGTCAGGGGAAGGTGTAAAAAATTCCTGATTCCGGGGCACCTGGGTGGCTGGGTTGAGCGTCCAGCTTTGACTGAGGTCATGATCTCACAGTTTGTGAGTTTGAGCCCTACCTCGGGCTCTCCACTGTCAGCACAGAGCCCACTTCAGATCTTCTGTTCCCCTCTCTCTCTCTCTGCCCCTCCCCCACTCACGTGCGCTCTCTCTCAAAAATAAAAATAGGGGCGCCTGGGTGGCGCAGTCGGTTAAGCGTCCGATTTCAGCCAGGTCACGATCTCGCGGTCCGTGAGTTCGAGCCCCGCGTCGGGCTCTGGGCTGATGGCTCAGAGACTGGAACCTGTTTCCGATTCTGTGTCTCTCTCTCTGCCCCTACCCCGTTCATGCTCTGTCTCTCTCTGTCCCAAAAATAAATAAACGTTGAAAAAAAAATTCTTAAAAAAAAAAAATAAATAAATCATTAAAAAGAAAATTACAGATTCCATGACTGCATCTCAGGCCAACCAATTCAGAACCTTCCAAGGTGGGTCACTCTACTTTCAACTCTGGCTAGGTTTAGAGTTGATAACAGCTCTCCTCATTCAAACGTTTCATTTTTTCCCCTTTTTATAAATTACTCTATAAAATTAGCAGCTATTATAATGTGCTGGTCAAGGTGAAAAATAAGACGTAACACCAATGTCCCACAAATTGAGGAAAAGTTAAATCACGATGCATTCGATCGGTGGAACATTATACAACCATTAAAATCACCTTATTCAAGAATCAGCAGTGACATTGGAAAATGTTCTTGATAAAATGTTAAGGGAAAAGCTCCTTTAAGTCATTAACTTTTAACTGTTTCTCTTTTTTTTCTTCAGTGAAATTTTTTGTGGTTTATGTGAGTACTTGACTGGCAAATTAAATTGTTAATTTGTTTGTATTTCTATTTGCAGCTATCTGCTTTCAGAAATGTAAAAATGGTGGCGAATGTATAGCTCCCAGTATATGCCACTGTCCTACCGCATGGGAAGGAGTGCAGTGTCAAATACGTAAGCCTACAAAATTTGTTTTTTACTCTATGTTCTGAACCTGAATCTGTTACAGTTATTAAACAAAGTATAATGTGAGGAGAAATCATAGAGAAAAAAAATCCCATAATGCTTATACATTAAAAAAAAAGGGTTTTGGAAATAAAAGGAAATCTTCATTCATTGTTATATCCATTTAAAAGAAGAAAATTTGGTAAAATATGTTAATATTTTGTGTGACACAGATAACTCCAAATTATGGTCTCTGGGCTATCTTGGAAGTTCTCTCAGGTGTGAAGAAGGTTTTTAGCATAAACTTTAAATATTTTTTCAGATTATGAGAAAGATACATACCACTCATGAAAATCATGGAAAATATGAAAAAGTTACAAAAACTAAATTGTCCCACATTCTACCATCCAAAAGAAATTCCTGTTGTGATTTTAGTATTTTAATATATTTCCCTTTTGTTTTAGTTAAAAATTTTACATTCATGGGGCCTCAGGGTATTGAAGAAGATCAAGGATCTAATATTGAAATTTATGAAAACTTGAAATAACATGTTAAAATATTAACAAAGATTAGCTTCATGAGAAAAACTAGAAGTCTCACCCTCCAAATATTTTCAATTGATCAATAATTATATCATCTTAAAACTGGTGATCCAAGTGTATTGTAAACTGAAATTATACAGTTGCAAAATGACCATGTGTTTTTACAAAAAATACCTGCCCTGCTTTTTGATGTCTTATGAACCACACTTGTTTCCATATATCACAGATTTCACATATAATTTTCATGACTTTTAGAGTGTATTTTATTAGTAAGTGCTATTACAATTTATACATTTTTCATCTTAGGAAAATATTATCAAAGAATTCACTTCTAATACTTAAGAAATATGTGCTCAAAAATCACTAATTCTCATTGGGAGTTATATGCGATAAAATGGTAGAAAAAAGAGCCATCACCCTTAATTTGGGCTGCTTATTCTGGAGAGAGGTCTTTGTGGACCATGAAAGAGAATGATGAGATATTAGAAGCACGTTAATGTGGAAACATGCTCCAGTAAGTGTGGATTGAGGTACTCTGAGTACAGCCTGAAGATGTGCACTTTTTTTTTGCACCTTGAAGCACTTCTGTGTGAATTTTTCAAAGTCCCTTTCCTCAAAATACTTAATTTCCAACTTCCAGAAACTCTATATATTGACATTATTTGACCAAGATGTCTGACTGCCGTCTGCTGGAGACCTATTGTAACAAATATGCAAATCTATGATGTCTCTGGTGTGAAAAGTACTCCCTCAGCTGTGGGGCTTTGTGTATTGCACAGCCTGCCCAGCTACACATGGCATCACTGATAAAAACGTAATCTTTTAATGCTGCACTTCCACCAAAGAGAATATTGTTCTTGAATTTTGCAAGCTTTCAATATGAACTCTGGAAGCAGATACCTCTCTCATGAAAAATAACTGTATTGTATGTAATTGTATATTATACGTATTTTCACTTAATATGACTTAAAAGCATTTTCTGTGTCCTTCAACACATAACTTTGAACAAAATATTATATAATCTATGCCACTGTATGTATATCTATTCTATATATATAATATATAGATAGATATATAATTCACTTGACTTTTTCCCTAATGTTGAACATTGTAGTCATTTACAAGTTATTACTATAATAAGCATTTTCTTTCTATAAGTAGGTAGGTAGATAGATGATAACATAGGTGGATACATTAGGTAGATGATAGATAACTAGACTGATATTGAATTATATTGAGATAGATATAGGTATTTTTAAATTTCATGAGGAGAGGGGTGCCTGGGTGGCGCAGTCGGTTAAGTGTCCGACTTCAGCCAGGTCACGATCTCGCGGTCCGTGAGTTCGAGCCCCGCGTCGGGCTCTGGGCTGATGGCTCAGAGCCTGGAGCCTGTTTCCGATTCTGTGTCTCCCTCTCTCTCTGCCCCTCGCCCGTTCATGCTCTGTCTCTCTCTGTCCCAAAAATAAATAAACGTTGAAAAAAAAATTAAATTTCATGAGGAGAGATTCTGAGGAAGAAATTGCTGGTGTAAAAATCTTTAGGAAGTTTCTAATACAGTTGTTTCACATTAAACTTCCAATGATAGCATATTAAATTGTCAGTTTTCTATACACTGGCCAGTACTGCGTTGTGTCTTTTAAATCTTTGCTACATTATTAAGCAAATTATGAATGCTTATATTACTGATTTGAATCTCCTCTCTAAAGAAAATAAAAACATATAGCCACTGTTTAAAAGGTAGCCAATGAAAATTTTGTTTGCTTTAATAATATCTTTACAGAATTGTGAAACTGTTGTGTTGAGTTTTGGGTGTTTTGTTTTTTGATGTGTGTGAGTATGTGTGTCTGTGTGTTTTGGCTGCACAAGAATGGGAGTACCATTGGTCATTCATAAAATCTTAATGACCATGCTTCAGACCACCAGAAGAGAATATGTCACAAGCATTTGTGTCAAAGAATGGTCATTGTAATTTTTTTTATATTCCAGCAATTTGCAAACAAAAGTGTCTTTATGGAGGCAGATGTGTATTTCCTAATGTGTGTTCTTGTCGCAATGGATATTCTGGACCCAAATGTGAAAAGAAAGTACAGGTATTTTAAATTTTAAATGGAAAATAAATATTAGATATTGCTATCTGCTATCTACTCAGATATTTTGCTTAGCAATTGACATCTATGTGTTATTGTTTTATTTTCATTGATTTCCAAATAAAAAACATGCACAGATTTACTATTTGCCTCTGAAACTAAAAACAGTATCGTTTTTGTGTCATTGTAGTTACCTTATTATTCAAAATTCTGATGTTCACTTAAAGGATTTCAATGTGTAGATATGACTTTCAAGTGTAATACTATTCTGTTTTATGGCACTGGAACTGAAAGAGAATAATATTCTTCAAAAGGGACTTAAGACACCACAAATATTTTTCTATATATAATTTATTGTCAAATTGGTTCCATACAACACCCAGTGCTCATCCGAACAGGTGCCCTCCTCTATGCCCATCACCCACTTTCCCCTCCCCCCCACCCCCATCAACCCTCAGTTTGTTCTCAGTATTTAAGAGTCTCTTATGGTTTGCCTCCTTCCCTCTCTGTAACTTGTTTTTTTTCCCCCTTCCCTTCCCCCCTGATCTTCTGTTAAGTTTCTCAGGATCTACATATGAGTAAAAACATATGGTATCTGTCTTTCTCTGTGTGACTTATTTCACTTAGCATAATAAAAAAAAAAAAAAAGAGAGGCAGAGAGAGAAAGGGAAAGAGAGAATCCTAAGCAGACTCCATGCTGTCAGCACAGTCCTGACATGGGGCCAAAATCCAGAGCCTGATGCTTAACCGACTGAGCCACCCAGGCGCCCCTAATCTGTATTGGTTTTAATTTTAAAAGCAATTATATGCTATTTAGCACTTCAGAAAGTCCAAGGGTTGTGAGTATCAAAGTATCCTGGAGTCCTGTAATTTGAAAAATGATAAGGAATTTTCTTTTTGAAGCGTGATACTGGATGTCTAGCTTAGAGGCAAAGTGGACGTGCACATGTGTTTCTCCTTGCACTGGTATGCATCCTGGTTGGATATGGCCTCCATTTTGAAAACACAAACAAAAACAAGTTCATAACAGTACTGTGGTTTGAAAACCAGAAAACAAAAGCTATTGAGTGCCTGTTTGATCAGCTGTTGTTGAGAACAATAAAAACAATAAAAATGTGAATTCCCTGGTTCAAAGGCAGCGTTTACACATGTATTATTTCATTTTATTTGAGATTTTTATGGCACAGAAAATTCCATGAGCTCAAAAGCTTTCAACTCCACTTTGACATACTAAATTAGGTGATTTCTCTGTAATCTATTTTTATCTATTTCTTTACTACCTGAATCCTTCCTCAGATAATCTTCATCTCCTCTAATGGGGACGCTTCTCAGACTGCACCTGGAGCCATTTTAAGGAAGGAAAGAACAGAGAGTCGTGGAGAAGGAATAGGAAAACAAAATGAGACTAGCTCAGGGACCACATGTCCTGAATACTATAACCTGTTCATCCAAATTCTTGACTTCAATTCTCACTTGAGCTTTATTCAGTTGTTCATTGGTGTCATTACTTTTATTTATTTATTTATTTATTTATTTATTTACTTACTTACTTACTTATTTTTCCTTGGGCTCCAAAACATAGGGTAAAAAACAAATTTTTAGGCAGGAAAAAAATAATAAAACAACTACTGTTTTGGGTATTCAGAACCCTCCCTGGCTCCTCCCAGCTCCCTTCAGGCCTACCTTCCTGGCCCTTCTTCAAGCATCCTGAGGTAGTGAGGGGAAAAAAGAAATGGAAGATAGTGATTAGGTTGGGTTGCTAGAATTTCAATGAAAACAACAGCAGAGAATTACTAGCCAGAAACAAAGAATACAAAGAAAGGAGAAATGGGCAAAAGAGGTGCTAAAGAGGGGTAGGTGGCTTTGAGAGGCCTCAGAACTTGCTGCCCAGCTGCTAATTACATTTAGCATTGGACCTGCCACTTGTTCACTCTGTGACTTTCAGCAAGATATTGAACCCCTCTAAGTCTCAGCTTCTTCATCTGTCATATGGTACTAATAACACCTAATCATAGGGTTGTTAAAGGACTAACTATGTTCACATATGTGCCTGGTGTGTAGAAAACACTATGTCAGTTTGTTACTGGTTATTACATTGAATAGAGGAATAGAGAGCCATGGAGAAGGAAAAGGACGAGGAAAAAGACTGGAGAGAAATGTTGCAACGCATTGAAAACAGTCTTTTCCTGAAGGGTATCAGGAAAAAACGTGCTTGGTTTTATTGAGCAGGGATGTTTGTTGAATGTAATTTTTCTTCAAGGTGGAGTCATGTAATATCCAAGCTCCACTTAGTCACAACTATTTTGATACTTAAATATAATCTGGGCGCACCTGGGTGGCTCAGTCGGTTAAGTGTCCAACTTCGGCTCAGGTCATAATCTCACGGTTCGTGGGTTTGAGCCCTGTGTCAGGCTCTGTGCTGACAGCTCAGAGCTTGGAGCCTGCTGTGGATTGTGTGTCTCCCTCTCTGCCCCTCCCCTGCATGTGTTCTTTCTCTTTCTCAAAAATAAATAAATGTTAAAAGAATTAAATAAATAAGATCTGGATTAGACCTCAGTTTTATGAAAGCAGTGTTTGGTCTCTAGTAGCAAATGTAGAACCAAAAGCTTTTTGTATCACGTCAGAGAGGAAGAGGTAGCAAACAATGAATAAGGGTCAAGTGGTTTTCCTGTATTCATTGAAACTTGGTTTCCCACTTCTTACTACAGACAAAACGCCATTAATATCAAGTATATCACAAGCCTGTCTTAAGAATGGAAATTTTATTCAGAAAAAGTTGAAGATAACTACTTGAAGTTTATTTGAACATCATTTTTAAAATTATTTTGAAGACTGAAGAAACTAATCAAATGTAGAATGCTGTTATCTGGTCATTGTTAGAGAAAAGCAAAGAAGAAATCCAGGTCATTTGAATTGACTTTGAAATGTGATTTGATATTTACGTATTGAGATGATGCATCCGATATTCAAGACATTCACATTATCTAATAAACTGAATATCTCCCAATTCTTACCGTGATGGTTGGTGTCTTTATCATTAGGGATCAGTCAGCATAACAGAAACCATGTGATGTACCCAGATATAAAGTATTTAAAGCAGAATTAGGAAATCTCAGGATTGTTGGAAGGGTTGGGGGTAAGGGTGGGGACAGGAGGAGGTAGAGGTCGGGAAAGCAACTGCTGAAGGTCAGAGAGATTGTTCTTGAAGATGTTAGCCTAAAGCACCAAGCAGATTTCAGCTTTCTTGGAGCTGCTGCAATACTTGACAATCTTCAGAAACTCCACTGACTGTCTCAAGCTGTCATTACAGAAAATTTGCTGGGAAGCCACTGTGAATCTTTTATCTATCCAAATATCTAGCTGCAAACACCTCTGAAAAAAATGACTTCCCACTTCCATCTTCTCTCTCTCTGGAAAGCTTTTCTCACTGGCAAACCCTAACCCAGAAACACACAGAGAAGGGGGTTCTGGAAAATGTAGTCCTAGCCTTAGAAGTAACTGACAGTAGTACCAGGGAGACAACAGTGAGCTAACAAAAGATATACCCTGCATCTTGTGGCTTTGGACCATATTCCAGAGATCACGCCATCATTTTTCTGTGATAAAAACACCATATTTAGTTTTGCCTATTTTCCACCTCCAGTCTTTCTACTTCTCTGACCTGTACCATTTCTGGACAAGTTGAAAGGAATAATGAAATTCTGGTTTTAGAAGATTTACTTGCTCATTGTGTTTAGATGTAAAAAGGACATGAAGATGTCTGTTTCACTTTCCATTCTTTTGGTACCATGATCTATTTGGGTGTAGAAGCAAGAGACAAAAGATCACAAAATCAAGTCTTTCTATAAATAATGAAAGAGGGGTCCCTGGGTGGCTCAGTCAATTAAGCCTCCAACTTCAGCTCAGATCATGATCTCACGGTTCATGGGCTCGAGCCCTACGCCAGGCTCTGTGCTGACAGCTCAGAGCCTGGAGCCTGGTTCAGATTCTGTCTCCCCCTCTCTCTGCCCCTCCCATGCTCATGCTCTGTCTCTCTCTCTCTCTGTCTCTCAATAATAAATAAATGTTAAAAAAAATTTAAAAAAAAAGTGAATCCTTGATGGAAGCAAAATTTCATGACATTAACTGTTGGGGAAGTGGGTAAAGTCAACAAGGTATATACATATAATTGAAACATTTGTCTTTGAGATAAAAATAATTATAGGTTATATACAGTTATAAATCTTTCCTATCTCAGATTTGACCTCAAACTATCTTTTTCAAATATACTTTTATTTTACTTTGAACATACTTATTTTAAATCATACAAGTTTACAGAACTCATTTTGTTATTTTAAGTGGAAATACTGAGCGTTCCTAAGCCATGTTTAAACTATAAGACTAAGACATTATTAGAATAAAATTATGCTAATGTTGAGAAGAACCTTTTAAGTAATAGCATCCAATGTCAGAATTAAAGAGATTTTAATTTATTTCATATTTGCTGAAAGGTAGTTTAAAGAATTTTTGAAGAAAACAATGTTTCACTATATTTTATTTCATTACTAAAAATACAGATTATTATAAATGCAAAATAAACCTTTGACACTTAGTGTGTACTTATATGTTTACACTCTTATGAAAATGTAAGTACTAGAAGGGGTCCTGGGTGGCTCAGTCGGTTAAGCATCTAACTTCCACTCAAGTCATGATCTCAGAGTTTGTGAGTTTGAGCCCGGCATCGGGCTTTGTGCTGACAGCTCAGAGCCTAGAGCCTGCTTCGGATTCTGTTTCTCTCTGCCCCTCCCCCGACCATGCTGTCTGTCTGTCTGTCTGTCTCTCTCTCTCTCAAAAGAAACATTAAATATATATATACATATATATAAAGAAAAATGTACTCTAGATAAAAATACTTTTTAAAATTTAATAATTAGAATTGAAATTCCTACAAAAATAGATGTAATAAAAATAGATATGATTTTAATATTTGTCTCTTTGTCACCTTTGCTCTGTAACAGCATAGCAACTTTATCAATAGCCTTACTAAATTAAATTTCAGTGTATACTTTTTAAGGCTAGAAGTTATAATCACTCAAGGATCTATTCTGAAATGTCTAAACTAACACTTTTAAATCTTTCATAAATATTTTCTAGATCCACACCAAGAACCCCATGCTACAATTACAATATTAATCAGTAGACTATCCATTTATAATAGATTTAATGGGCCTGTACATGCTAATAATGAAGAAATGTTATGGTTTACAGATTTTATATAAGAGCACTTCTTATGAAAGCTAATGACTCATGCAAATGAAAGTAATGTTTTAGAAATATAATCTGAGTTTAGAAAAGCAAGTAATTTGATAAATTTATGGAGAAGACATTTAATTTTTCCTTACTTTTTGTTGATATTTTCACATTTATTAACTTTAAAGTGTTTCATTCAAAATCCATTTGGATAATACTTGGAAGATAATGACTGTTAGACAATTTAAGCAAAAGTACTTTAAAATGTGGACCTTTCAATTTTTGCCTTATAAATCATTCTCCAAAAAGAATTCAGATTGTAGACCTTATTTAATATGCTTGGCTTTTTTGTGTTTATTCATGTTAACATTTAAATGAAATTTTTGAGTTGCCCAATATTCTTATCCTTTCTTTGATCCAGTATTTAAAATATGAACTTCTCTGTCTAAATTTTAAAATATGTCTACCAGCCCTTTATTCTAAAATATTAAGTATCATAATCTTTTTGGTAGAATTTTAAATACATCTTATTTTTCACATTCACAAATTATAAAATTTATCTAAATTGCAGCATACATAATAAAATTTTAGATTTTAAGGACAAACTATTTGGAAATATTTGGAGCCTATAATGGGACATATATATATTATACACATTTTACAAATATCATTGAAACTATGTAATTGTTTTTAAAGTATTTATGTGTTAGAGTTTAAACCAGGTATATTTATATTAGTTAAATGAATGTAATAATTTGCTTTTCTTTGTGCAACTTTAATAATTCATTCCTTAGGGTATATATGCCAGTTATTTCTAAAATGAGATCGAGTGACCTAAATTAATAAACATGTTAAATAGGGAAAAAACAATAAATACAAAAAACTTAAAAAAGAAACACTGTATTGTATCTACAATGTTATAAACTATAAATAAGAAGTAAATACTAGGCAGTTATAAGATTGTATTTTAAAAAAAAGAGGAATAGCCATCTCTTCATATAAAGCTTAGTAGATGACCTCCGTGGAATGTGTTAATTAATTCTTCTGTAATTGACTTTGAATAGCCCTGTAGCTGATATTTTCTCAGTCGCTGTTTGCCAATGATACAGAAAACATCAAGTCAGTTCTTGTTTTTAGAAAAAGAAAAGCCTGACAGTCTTAACATTGCATAAATCCTCAACACTTTTATTCATCTGATGAAGTGGATGAAATGGTATATTTGTAAACAGCAGCAAAATAGAGTTGTGCCGAAGCCACTAATATTTAATACTGAATAAGAAACATGGGACGCCTGGGTGGCTCAATCGGTTAAGCATCTGACTTCGGCTCAGGTCATGATCTCACGGTTCATGGGTTCAAGCCCCTCATTGGCTCTGTCCTGACAGCTCAGAGCTTGGAGCTTGATTCAGATTCTGTATCTTCCTCTCTCCCTGCCCTGCCCTGCTCTCACTCTCTCTCTCTCAAAAATAAATAAACATTACCAAAAAATGTAAAAAGAAAAGAAACATAAAGCCTTTTCCTAAATACCTTCCATTTTTCATAAAACTCAGCCCTCTAATCCTGAAAATGGGCTGCAAGAACTGACCCTGTTGATTACTTTGTCAGTTTTTTCCCCTAGCTTTCAATTTGCCTCCCAAGGACCTCCTCATATAACTCTTTCTTGATGTTGAAAACAATGGACCGCATCATTGTCACTGCGTCTTCTAATCATCTGTTCACAATGGCCTGGAATGCTCTGGAGTTTGCTGTGGACAAGTATGCTGGACTGCCACCCACCCCTGCTGTTGAAAATTGGACAACTGCTTTCAGTTTCCTTCATTTTCTATCTTGTCTCAGTTTGGTGAAAACTGCCTCTCCTCTCTAAGGTACGAATCATCAAGTTGAGGTTTAAGTTTGATTGAACTCAATGAAAATGGTGACTTAGTAAAAGGATATAGAGAAATCTCACAGAGCTTTCTGTGAGGCAAGACATGAAGTTGGATTTACTGGGAACCAGAAAGCAATTAAGAAAAGAGATCCACTCTTTTACTGAAGCTGTATAGATTATGTCCTCTTGGCTTTTTTGTCAACCTCTACTTCTCTCTACCCATTGCTGTCTGTCCTTTATTGATCCACCTCAGGATCCAACATGGCCACCAAATCTACATGACAATTTTTCAGTTCCCATAGCAGCCACCCATTGGTTAGAAACCATGTTGTTTAGTTCAAAAATCTTGAGTGAGAAAGACCTCAGAAAGTAATGAACAGTCAGAGGATTGGGTGGGCTTGAGCCAGTGTCCATGCCTGGGCAAACAGGTATGATCACAGCCAGAAAAGTCATATTGTGGGTGGAGCTGCCTGTGTTTAGCCTATGAGGAAGTTCATGTTCTGAGGTGGACATATAACTTCTGAGTACAGGAAGATCCCAGTATGCCAGAGTTTTCAGAATTTGATCTTTGTGATGCTGAAATTAATTGAGGTAAATAGGACAGAATAGGCCCCTATTCTCGAGAAGTTATGGTAATTTTAGGCAAAAAATTGTTGTCAAGGAAGATTTCTTATATTTGTTTCTGTTTTTTTTTCATGTATTTAAGACAGGTAAACTAAAGCCCGTGTGAACAAATATATCTGCTAAAGGACAGTGCTATGTATGATATTATCTCCAGTCAACATCCACTTTATTTTCGTAAATTATTCAGTAGCACACTATGAGAATTAGAAGTGTTTTCTTGATTTGAAGTAGATCAATTATGTGATTATCAAATTATCAGGCAAATTGAGAGAAAAAAACCTAAAATGTA